TGACAGCAATTAAACTTCAACTGGGAGCATAAGCATATCTGTGTCACCTTTCTATCTTGGAATCAATCAACACATAGTTGGGATGAGGTGAAACAACACCTCTGGGGAACCTTACATGATAATGTAACTCCAGATGAAAAGCAACTTACAACTAAAATTCAAGAATCCTTAAACACCATAGATCTACATGCCCAACAAACAGCCATATGTAAGGATGTGCAAGAACATCTCTCATGGATAGACCCCCACTCCTGGGGGTCACTCCGTGATTGAAAAAAAATATTACTGATTATACTCATGTTTGTCTCATGTTGTTTACTAATTCTAGGATGCAAAGCTGGAAAATGAGCTGTAACTGCTACGCCTGACAAATCTGTTGCTGTACACATCTGTGCTCTTTAATTAATAGAATCTGAGGCAAAAAAACAGAAAAGGGGGCAATGTGGGAATATCTGTCAGAGTGGTGGGAGAAATTATAGGGAAAGGACACAAACCTTGAAAGGCCAGAAGGTTCTGCAGAGCTTCAGGGAAGAATAAGCTGAAGGCAGCTGTTCTACCCTGAGGCAGAGGGCGAGGAGTAGGTACATGGAAGTTTAGGGGAATTTATCTTAAATGGGCTTGTTAACTCATGTTGTCCTAAAACCGACCTTTACTCATGCATGCACATGACTGCTCCATGTAAAGGGGAATAATGTTAGTTACCTGCAGATTGTGTTTACTCCAGGCTTTTGACATTATTTCTGTACTGAATGAAAGCAAGCAGCCCTAGCTTATTGAGGCTGCTCACTCTCCAGCAGTACCCTAGCGGGTCTCATGCAAAATCGCTGTGTCTGAGTATTCCTTTCATCCATCACTCAGCCAGAGTCCGCAGGGCAGACTCGGCAATGGAACCAACAAGTTTACATTTTGATAAGGTCAACATGGTGAAACCCCGTCTCTACTAAAAATACAAAAAATTAGCTGGGCATGGTGGTGCGTGCCTGTAATCCCAGCTACTCAGGAGGCTGAGGCAGGAGAATTGCCTGAACCCAGGAGGTGAAGGTTGTGGAGAGCCGAGATCACGCCATTGCACTCCAGCCTGGGTAACATGAGTGAAACTCCATCTCAAAAAAAAAAAAAAGAATAGAAATTCTTCGTATTTACAAACTTATTTGCATTAAATTATGAGGTCCTCTGGGACTACACAGCTGTTGGCATATATTTTATTCATTATGGTGTTCCCCTAACTCCCTGGCATACTGCATTAATCACAGTTAATCTTCGGCTAATATACAGATATTCTTCAACTTATGGTGAAAGTTACATACCAATAAACCTATCATAAGTCAAAATTATAGTTAAGTCAAAAATGGATTTAATGGTGGCAACACAGCAGACGGTCCCCAACACGATGGTTCTATTTATGATTTTTTAACTTTATGGTAATGTGAAAGTGATAAACATTCACTAGAAACCATAGCCCCATCATAAATCATAAGAAGCTACTTGACATGCCATGAGGTTTTATCCCAATAAACACATCATCAAGTTGAAAAACTTAGGTCCAACCACTGTATATCAAGGACTATCTGTAGTCATGAATGAGTGACTAAAAAAATAAATGAAGTAAAAAATGATACTGAAACAGGCACAAATAAACAGGAGTACATGAGACGAAAATTATTTCCTGCTGGAGGGAACAAGGAACAATTAATAAAGGTGGTACAATTTGATCTGTTCTAAAGGGAGAAAGGCATTCCAGGCAGAAGGAACGCATGAGGAAAAAGGAGAGGAAAAAATGGCAGGATGTGTATGGGAATAACCTTATCAAATAAGGTTCAAGATTAAAACCTTGATTGCAGGGTAAATAATCATACTTTTTTTTTAACTGGAAGGCATATTACTTACTGATGTATGTAAAACTGTTAACCATCATTTAGGCTTTTTACTATAAAAATTTATAATCAGAGAGAGGTCAATAAGCTCCTGTATCTTTACTAGTCCCAACAAGTATTAATAGAGACTATGTCCTATTTCATGTAGAGCTACTCACTGCACCCCAAGGTTATTTTGAAGCAAGTCACCTACATCATATAATTCTATTTCTAAACAATATTTCTTTGAGTGTCTCCAAAAATAAGACTCCTTCTGCAAGTATAACTACAGTACCATTATCAAGTTTAAAAAGTAATAATTTATTAGCAACATTAGTATTCCATGTTCAAAATTCCCTGATATTTTAATAATCTGTTATATAGTTGTTTCCAATGAAAAAGATCCAACTGAAGTTGATTCATTGCAATTGATTGTTAAATCTTTTAAATCAGTCTCTTTCTCTGTATCTCTTTCTCTTCCTCCCTCCTTTTCTCCCTTCCTTCTCTCCCTCTGTCCCTCTTAGTCATTTTATTGTAAAGTAAAGCACATACCAAAAAAAACAAAACAAAACAAAATAAAACACACGCATTAATGAGTTATTACAAAGCAAAGGCCTTTGTAACCATCATTCAGGTCCAGGAACCTTGCCAACCCCTCTTGAAGGCCTTCTTCATGGCCCATATCAATCACACCTCCTTTACTACTTTCCAAAGTAGTCACTGTCTATACTTATAAAGTAAAATCACTTTATTTATATATTTCTCACCTACATGTGCATGCTTAGATGCTATAATTCTATCTACTTTTTAAATGCCTATGTTTCTTTTAATATATACAGTCCCATTTCACGATATTCCTTTTCTTATAATTTATCTTTTGAAGAACTCAGCACATCTGACCCATAGAGATTCACATAGACTAGATTTTATTGATGACATATTCATGCTGAAATTCAAGATATTTCTATGTTATTTACATATCTCCTGCAAAATGACAGTGGGAGCCAAAGGCTTAATCGGACTCAGGTCTAATTCATTTGGTAATATGAATCAATAGACAATATTTTCTTCTTTTATCAGAAGAAACATGTCTGGTGGTTTTTCATCTTGTGATGTTAGCAGTCTTTGATGCTTAAATGCTTAGATTTATTAATTTACTAAGAGTTGCAAGAAGATGATGCTCTAATTGTATCATTAAATTTTCATTTATTATTAGAAACACTTTGCAAAACACACTGCTTTACAACACTTCATTAACCAGTGTTACATGTCTTCTGGGAAAACCAGAATGAGAACCTGATTGTTCTCCTTTACCAGTTTTTAAGATAATAAACTGATTTCCTATCATCCAAATATCATTCATGAAATTTTGTGGAAATGTCATTATGAAATTAAAAATTTCACCTGACTTCATAGGATTTAAATCATTGCAATTAGGTTCAAATTATTTAGGCTCAAATTGTTCATCTTTGGCCAACAGAAGACTCTTCAAATTGACTCCTAAGTTGTATTATTAACAACTTAAGCAGAGACAGAATTTAAAATTTTCAGCTTTTGAAATCTACAACAAGCTGTGTTTGTAGAATTTTTTATTTCTCTCTGGAGTTCTGTCGACTTTTGCTGCATATTTTTAAAGCATTGTTATTAAGCACATAAGTTTTTGTTATTTTTATGTTTCCCTGATAAAGTGATTCTTTCATTATTATAAAACATCATCTTTATCTCTGGTAATCCTCACTGTCTACTTTATCTGACATTCTTATGGCCATTCTAATTTTCTTATTGTATCTGCCATTTATTTATTTATTATTTTTAATTTTATTTTTTTTCTCCCTTTCACCTTCTATTAATCTTCTATTATCTATTGTGTTTTATTCTGGTATCTTTCTCTTAGATGACCTTCATTTCTAAAATGATTTAATTTCTTCTAAGTTTGTATGGAGTTACATAATATATATAATTTTTGGATGTTTCTAATTCTTATTATTTCTTCACATCTTATAACATTTTAAAATGTCTTTTAGCTCATTTAGGAAATAGCAGATTTTTCTGAATTTTAAAATATTAAAGGATTTTCTAAGTTCACCAAGTTATCTTTTCAAAACTGTGAAGTCTTGGTCTTAAGATGTCCTGGGTTTCTTCTCCTGCTCTATTTTTATCCAGTCCTTCTCTTTCCTTCCGATATATTGTCCTCATCCAGGTTACTTTTGATTCTACTCTCTGTAGCTTCTCCTTAACATGGCTGGTCATATTACAGAGTTGTGAGCAACTACAACTTTACCCACCCCTTCAGTGCCTCTTGTTTAGGTCTCTTGCACCACCCTTTACTAGAGAGCGAAATCTCTCCCAATTTCAGCTCCTGTTCTCAAATTGGCTCATCACACTCTCCGGTAAGTACCTGTTGGCTCTTTTGGTGCCCTCCTGCTGTCAAGTCTGACAGACACCACACTACTTCCAGATGCTTCCTTCCTTACTCACAAACACTGATCCCATATGGGCTTAGGCTGTTGGTGGTTTGTCTCAGTTAACTTTATCAAAAGTGGTTCATGTGGATAACATGTCACTGAGTTATGTTATAAATTCTGTCCATGGGGTTTTGGCTTTGGTGTATGTAGAAAGTTGAAGCAATTCAAAAGCTATGTTGCTGCTACAATTGCTACCTTCCAACACTTTTATATTTTGGTTAAACACTTTCCAAATCCCTCAGATGTGGAAGAGGCCTTAGATGGACAGTGCCTACAAAGGGGGCAAAGAAGAAAACACACATAAACAAGAAAATGCAGTACTGACAAATCAAGGAGTTGAAATTCACCTCATAAATTAACAGCTTATGACTTCATTAAGCAGGAACTAGAAGTGGGCAAAATTTCTTAAAATGTATTTCACATGAAGTTAACGGAAATAAGGTAGTTTTGGTATTCTAGTTAGAGTAATTTCAAAAATAGTGGCCTGAGACAGAGTACTGTATACCACTTCCTTTAAAATGGTACAAAATGAAGATGTGGTAAAATATTTTCATAAAGTTATCATGGAATAAATCAGATAATCTGCCCAGAAATGCCTTTGCTTATACATATAACTCAGCAAATAAGTATTGTCATTTAATACGCCATTAGAGAGAATAAAATGTAGTCTAATTTTCCTTACCATATACCAAGTGATGGTCGGTTTGACACTGGAAGGAAAATATCCATCTACGTTTGGACAAGTGATCTTCTGAATACCATATTCTATATATAGTTTCTGCACTGGGAGTTTCATGGGGGAATTGAAACAGCTGTCTTTTTGAACAACTTCCAAGGGAAATGCAACTTTGCTGCAATATGTGGTGTTCCTGAAAAAGAAATATACAATGAATGGGTAGTATCTGCATTTGATTTCACATAGCAACCACATTAAAATGAACTAAGTGAAGCAATGCTACATATTGAGGCATCATTTATATATGTAAGTTCATGTGAGAGATAAAATGGAAGTGGAGGCATTTCCTCCAGCAATTGACATCACAGAATAAAAAAGGCACCATTAATTGCTAAATGTACTAAACTATTACTAATGTACTAAAGTATTTATACTTTCAGATGTGATCCTGAATGTGTGTTTGTCAGTGTATATAAATAGTCATGTGTCACATAATGACGTTTCAGGTAACGGTGGATTACACATGTAATGGTGGCTTCATAAGATTATAATGGAGTTTAAAAATTTCTATTAGTGATATCATTGTCATGGTAATGTCACAGGACAACATATTATTCATATGTTTATGGTGATGCTGGTGTAAACAAACCTATGCACTCTCAGACAAATAAAAGTCTATAGTAATGTCCCAGGCTTTCGCATTCACTCACTACTCACTCCCCCATTCTCCCAGAGCAACTTCCAGTCCTACAAGCTCCATTCATAATAAATGCCCTATACAGGTGTACCATTTTTTTCCCTCTTTCATGTTATATTTTAACTGTGTCTTTTCTATATTTAGAGAACTTAGGTCCACAAATTCTTACCACTGTGTTATAACTGCCTATAGTATTCAGTACCACAACATGCTACACAGGTCTGTAGCCTGGGAGTAACAGATTACACCATACAGCCTAAGTGTGTAGTAGGCTCTGCCATCCAGGTTCATATAACTACAGTCTACGATGGTCACGCAATGACAAAAATCAGCTAACAAAACATTTCTCAAAACACATCCCCTGTTCTGCTGTTCGACATAGCAAAATATAACTGTGTATATGTGTAACACTTAAAACGTTCTCAATAATACTGGGTGCAGGTAAGACACAGGCATGAATGGCATATTTATGCAGAGTCAATAATGGTATAAGCAACCTTTGGGGAAAAAAACATGTTTATAGGATCATAAAAAAGCCTTAGTTTTTGCCCTAGTAATCTTATGCCTGGATATTGTGTCACATAATCGAACAACAGAAAAGGGGGAACAGAGATAGCACATAGTCAAAGATGCCCATCAAGAGACAGATCAGCAAGGAAAAACATTTAAAGCCATAGAAAAATGTGACAAGTGGAATACTATAAAGAAAACTGTGGTACAATCATTCAAAGTTGTTGTGAGAACATATACAAACAATCAGGCATGAAGGAAAAAACACATTCAACTTCTTAGGATGACTGGGGAATTGCATTTGCCCTGTAATGATCACACAGGTTGTTCAGTCACCTGGAGGGCTTACTTCCCTCATCCCCTCCATATCACATGCAGGCCTTCTCTGTGAGCTTCTCCCACCTCATATCCGAATTAGGTCTGTCATTTATGGAGCACCTTGGACATTTCCTTGATTCAATTTGTTATAGTTCAAAATTATATTTTTTATAGATATGTATCTATATCCTCTGTAAAATATAAGTCCTACAAGACTATTTTTTTCTTATATTAATTGCATCTACTATAGTGTCTTAACTTCAGTAACTGCTTAATAAATATTTATTATTAAATAAATGGAATGAATGTAAAGCATGTGTCTACAGATAGAAACATAAAAAAGAACATAGAATAAGCAAAACAACTGATTTTTTTAGGGTGATGTGGTAAGGAGTCTATGTCTGCCCATTTTTGTGAACTTTGTCTACAGTACCAAAATGACTCATGAATGCAGGCTAAATATAGTGGAAGGGGTGGGAGATGCATTCTCAAAGATGGAGGGGGGCGTGTTAAAGATGACTTTTTCCAATACTTGGAAGGTGGCAAGGGGGAGTGGCAGGCATGACCCTTACCTACAAATAACAAAAGGTCTGCCACGTGGAAAATGGATTCTATAGGTGAAAGTTATAGAAGGTAAATTTAAGTTTAAAATAAGAATATATGTTCTGATTAAAAAAAAATGTAAAGAACAGTAGTTGGATTGACTCAGCTCCCAAAGTTGAACAGTATTGGGGTAAGAACATAAATAAAATACTGAAAGATGAAACTAACTTTATGGTCTTAAAGACATTCAGGCCTATGATTCTACATGGTTCAGTTTAAGGTCATTCTCAGCTTAGACATTTCCTTGGTGAAACAGGAAACTTTGTAGTGCTCCTACCCGACAATTTCAATTCTAGATTCACTTGAGGAACATGGGAGATAAAGATGTAAACTGAAGAGGTGCCAATCTGGAAGTTAATAAATAACATTAAATGTATATGCAGGAGTTAACATCCACGCAGCCCTACTTTTATAGTGTAAAAGAAGATCGGAAAAATTTGTGGAAGAGCTACAAGCAAGTAGTAAGTAATTAAGAAAACAATAATACCTGTACAGATACATTAAGATGCACAGTAGAGACCATAGTTAAACAGAAAGCTCCTGATGACTTCTTCCCATTGGGAAATGTCAACAGATGAACAATTACCAAAGATAAAAATGAGCTCAGCAAGCATGTATCCCAACTCTCTTACTATGTGGATGTAGATACCACAGCCCTCAGACATGGACAGGACTTGCCTAAGGTCACCAGCTAAGCAGTGGCAGAGTGGAAGTGATGGCCTGTTTTCTGTCTTCTCCTAATGCTCTTTCCACTATAATCTGCTTTAACTTCTACCAACTTGTATTAGAACCTAAATTACGAGAACATGAGTACTTCAGGGTCCTCAGAAACCCATATACCAGTCTAAAATCTACTCCAATAAAATTGAAGTTTCCTATGAGAGCCTCAGAAGGGCCTTCAGAGGTTATAGACATTCCCCCTTACCCCCAACCCCGAAGAACACAGCAGTCCAAAGGCCTTTCTGTGATAGAAAGGAGGTTCTTTTTCACATAATCATAACTTAGCTTACATTTACCAAAGTATAGTAATAGTTTTCCATCAGGGAATAGTTACTCTTCATGAGAGCAAAAACATCTGTGATTATTTATTGTTACGGACTGAAATGTGTCACCCCACCCCAAGGTATATGCTAAAGTCCTAACTCAAGGTACATTAGAATGTGACTACATTTAAAAACAGAAAACTTAAAGACATAACTGAGCTAAAATGAGGTCACAAGGGTATGACTAGCATCCTTATTAGAAGAGGAGATTAAGGGGAGACCATGTAAAGACATGGAAAGAAGATGGCCATATACAAGCCAAGGAGAGAGGCACCAAGAATGAAATCAACCCCGCCAACACCTTGATCTTGGATTTCCAGACTCCAGAACTGTGAGAAGGTAATTTTGCTTGTTTAAGTCACCCAGTCTGTGGTATTTTGTAATTGCAGCCCTAGCAAAGCAACACACCTGTTAAATAGCACGAAATTGTTAAAAACGAATAACCCAGGGAGTTTAGAAAACAAAGCCAAGCCGGGCAGCTAAAAAGTGACTGAGGGAATTAGAATTAACCCTGAAAATGGCTATTATTTGATGAAGCCTCAGGTTTTTAAAATTAATTTTTTTCTTTTTGTTTTGTTTTTGCAAAAACAACAATAATGCAGTTAAAAAAAGAGGAATACTGTAGAATAAAATATAAAATCTACAAAACTTTCAAGGGAAAAAAAGGGGATTTGAAAGAAATTTTACAGTAACGGTAAATTGCTTGGGTTATATTCTTAGATTGCCAGAGATATGGTAATCTTGTGCTTCTCAGGGGAAATTTGGTAGAAATGTAAAAAGCATTGTCATACATACATACATGCCATGCCTCCCAAAAGAATATTTGGGAGAATATTAGGACAGAGAAAGTTCTAAGGAGGAAATTGTAACTGAAAAGGCAAACCTTGCGCAAATGAGAGAGACGATTCCCAGTTTGCTCTAGGTCTTCTGATTTGGGGGCTAGATTTGCAGTGTCCAATAGAAATTAAACCACATATGTAATTTTAGACATTTCAGTTTCCACACTAAAAAATAAAAGAATATTTGGGAGGCATCACAGGTATTAAGGGAACCTGAATTTCTCTTCTGTGTCAGGTACTTTGAAAGATGCCAAGAATAACAGAGACAAATGAGCTCTCTCCCCTGCCCTGTTCAAAGTCTAGGGAACTGGATGCCTCCAGGGGAGCATAAAGGTATGCAGGTCCTGATGTCACGAGAAGGGACAAATAACAAGGCTCCACTTTTAGACAACTTTGATATGTCTTAGGCTCTGGAAAGAAACTCCCTCCGAGAACATTCTAAGGCCAACAGCCATTTCCTCTGCATACCTCCTTCAGCTCCCTCCAGCTAAACCAGGGAGAATTACCTGATTAAATTCTATCTAAATGCGTCCGACTTCTCCCCAGCTTCCTAGCACATGGATCATCTGGGCAAAAGCCCAGTAACTAAAGGGAAAAGAGAAAGTCACTGCCAAGAATCAGGCTACCTTAACATGCAGGTATAGTTGCCAGTGTCATTGAGGAGGGTGGGCCGGAACCAAAGCACATCTTTCTCCTTACTAATGCGGTTCTCAGGGAGGCGGAAGTTAATTGGCTCCTCAAGGTCCCGGTCCTGCCTAGTCCAATACCAGATGAGAGTAAGGCCAGCTGAATGGGCTGTGCTGTAGTTAAATTTCAGGAAGTGTTCAAAGAGTGGGCACTTGACGCGAGCTGGCTCATCTTCAAATACTTGGATTTGCCTCATGGTATCTAGTCCCCAGTCATCGCAGCGTTCTGAAATAATCAAAAAGAAAAAAAGGGCAGATAAGTCATTTCACAACAAAGGCCTCCCAAGAACACACCTTCTCCTCAGGACACCCAGTGTTTTCCAGGAACCTCTTTCTCTGGTCATTTTCTAGCCTCTGTCTAATAACTGCATACAGTAGGCAATTTTGGTGTGAAGAAATTCCCGTTCTGCATTATTTTTTATTTTCTGAGAAGCTCTTGAATAATGATTTGATCTGATAACTTGACTCTCATAAGCCCTGCAAGGTATGGGAGAAGGCTTCACCTAAAAAAGACATCACGTGGCTTTTCACTTTGTGGAACAGAGAATGTTTTAAGGAGGAGACTGTAAGAGAAAGGACTCCCAGTTAGCCCTAAATCTTCTGATTTTTGGGCTAGATTTGTACTGTCCAGTAGAAATTATAATGCAAAATACACATGTAATTTCAGACATTTCAGTTGCCACACTAAAAAAGTAAATCAAAGTAATGAAATTAATTTTAATATTTTGTGAAACCCAATATATCCAAAATATAAAAATAATTAGCAATTTTACATTTACATGATTTTTCTGTGGTACATCTTCAAAATTCAACTTATTTTACACTTACATCTCAATCTGGGCTAGACACATATATCTATGTCTACTGTCTACTTCATTGGACAACATGACAGTAAACCTCAAGAAATCAAGAGGTCTCAGTGATACTCCTTGGTGGAATACTCATTCAGAGCGAAAGGTGCTACAGTTTCATTGACAGAGTCAAATAAAACTTGTAATGGCTCTTATAATTTATTCTTTATAAAGAAAAGTAATCACGTACTTAGAAATAAAAAAAAAATAACTTTTAAAAGAATTTTTTCTTTAAGAAAATAAGAAAAGACTTATTTTCTTAAAATAGTTAAATATTTATTTTCTTAAGAGTAATATCTGAATGGAGGGCTCTTGAGGTCACCAGAGGAAGGCTGAACAGGGATCGGGGTGATGAAGTCCTATGAGCCACAAAACCTTAGAGCAATTTTCCACTTAGGTCCCTAATGTACACACATACACAAGCTTACATATGTATTTTTTAACTCTATAATCTTTCCTACATTTCCATTGACATATAAAACTTCTCATGCTAAGTATAATTGGAAAGGATATATTTAGTGTCCTATTACAGGTAATATCATTTTGAAAGAAAAGAGTTATATCATTCTTTTAATTACATCCAATGGAATAGTGATTTGCCATCCACCAATATCCAAACTAAAAATATGCAAAAGGCTTTTTTTTTTTATTCTTGAAGATAATGAAATGCTAAATGCAATCTGAAGGCCCACAATGTGTAAGTCTTTGTTAGGACATGGTTTAGCATGCCATATTTTCTACATTTAAATGAGGTCTGACCTTGGAAGCAGTCCAGTGAATATGTGCTGATTCAGTGATGTTTTTACTGCTCACAACATTTCTGGAATCTCTCTCTTTTTTAAAAAAAAGAAAGAAAGAAAAAAAGAGTGAAGGAGAGGAAGAAAGAGGAAGAGGAAGAGGGAGAGAGAACAGGAGTGTTGCTTTATTGCCTGGGCTAGAATGCAGTCTAAAAATGGGTATGCCTATAATTGTGCTTAACAATGGAGACATGAAAAAAATGAGGGAAGAAAATAACAAACAAGCAGCCAACAAATATTTCATTTAAAACTGTAAATAGATGTGATGTGGTACTGATAAGAGTGTGTATTTTGTGTATTTAAAGTGGGGAGTTCTAGAAATGTTTATTAAGTTTACTTGTTCCAGATCTGAGTTCAAGTTGAGGATATCATTGTTAATTTTCTGTCTCATTGATCTGTCTAACATTGATGTTGAAGTCTCCCACTATTATTGTGTGGGAGTCTAAGTCTCTTTATAAGTGTTATATATCTGAGTGTTCCTGTGTTGGGTGCGTATATATTTAGGATCTTTAGCTCTTCTTGTTGCATTGATCCTTTTATCATTATGTAATGTCCTTCTTTGCTTCTTTTGATCTTTGTTGCTTTAAAGTCTATTTTATCAAAGGCAAGAATTGCAACACCTGCTTTTATGTATTTATTTATTTTTGCTCTTCATTTGGTTGGTAAATCTTTCTCCATCCCTTTGTTTTGAGTCTTTGTGTATCCTTGCATATGAGATGGGTCCGGATGTAGCATACCGATGGGTTTTGGCTTTTTATCCAATTTGCCTGTCTGTGTCTTTTGATTGGGGGATTTAGTTGATTTAAATTTAGGATTAATAATAATATATGTGAGTTTAACACTGCCATTTGACATTAGCTGGCTGTTTTGCCCATTAGTTGATGTAAATTCTTCATTATGTTGATGCTCTTTACTTTTTGGTATATTTTTAGAAAGGCTGATACTGGTTGTTCCTTTCTATGTGTAGTGGTTCTTTCAGAAGCTCTTGTAAAGCAGGCCTGGTGGTG